TGGGCCCGGGGGCCGGGTTTGAGCCGATTTCAGATTTTTGGCTATAACTTCATATTTTCTTCTGAAATTGATTCCTTTAGCCAATATTGATTGTATTGTACTGATTGTGGTTAGATTTGGGATGTTTGGAGACCGATTTGAGAGTCAAAGGCATTTTGGAGTAGAGTTTTACTCGGATTGAGGTAAGTAACACTTCTAAACTTGGTTCTAAGGGTATGAATCCCCGAATTGGTGTTATATAAGAAGTGACGCACACGATAGTTGACAAGCGTATGGACGTGCACCATTGAAATTGTGACTTGAATAAATTTTGTGGAGTCAAAAAATTAAAGAATCATGTTATTATCTGAACATTTCCCCCACGTGTTAGAGAAATTGAGATGAGGCTCTAATTAAAGATCATGTTTAGGCTAAATGGATCGGGGTAGCCCGCCTGCAGTAGGCTAGAATGGCTTTATACATTATTATTGTTCTGGATCAGGGCTACCCGCATGCAGAATGCCTTATTGGCTTTACTATTTTATGGATCGGGGCTGCCCGCCTGCAGCAGGCCTTATAGGCTTTATTATTATACGGATCGGGATTGTCCGCCTGCAGTAGGGCATAAAGGCTTTATATCACGCTTGGGATGAAGGAACCCCTCCGGAGTCTGTACACACCCCTAGTGAGCGTAGATGATTATACATATTAGGGATGGATTTCCCAGGGCATGGACTTACCTTACTTATTTATATTGTAATGAATTTACCTGGACATGGATCTTATCCATATCATTTATATTTGGGGATAAATTACTCCAGGGCTGGATTGGCCTTATACGGTACTGAGTGACGGACTGTCATTCGTTGTGTATTATTTAAGGGTTGGAACACCCCTGGGCTGGATTGGTCATGAATTGTACCGAGTGATCGAATAATTTGTGACCAGTATTTACGTGAGGTCTTTCTACATAGATATCATATTTCTCATATCATGCAGTATTGATCTATTTCACTTGTACTGAGTTTTACTATTGAACTTGAAAGCATGCCTACATTTTTGTACCATTATTTATACTAGACTGTACCTGCGGAGCTCGTCACTACTTTCAGACCGAAGGTTAGTCTTGTTACTTATTGAGTTGGTTGTACTCATACTACACTCTGCACCTTGTGTGTAGATCCAGATGCTTCTGGACAAGGCGGCTGTTAGACCTCAGTGTGATACCAGTTGGAGTCTATCAAGGTAGCTGCTTGGCATCCGCTGACCTTTTCTCTTTTTTCTTCAGTTATTGTATTGTTCTATTCTTTCGGACAGTGGTATTTTTAATCAGTCAGACATTGTATTCATATTAGATGCTCATGTACTCCATGATACCGGGTTTTGGGAGTGTTATATTTGTATTTGTGAGATTTCATCCGTTTAATTTAATTATTTTGTTTTCAAATTTAATAGATATGGTGGTTTATTAAGATTGTGGACTTGCTTAGTATTGATATAGGCGCCATCACGACTAGTGAGATTTTTGGTCGTGACAAGTTGGTATCAGAGCCTAGGTTTCATAGGTCTCATGAGTCATGAGCAGGTTGAGTTGAGTCTTGTGGATCGGTACGGAGACATTTGTACTTATCTTCGAGAGGCTGCTGAACCCTTAGGAAAAATTTCATTTTTTCTTGTATTCTATCGGGCGAACTTTTTGATTCCGGAAAACTAAAATTTTGTTATTCTATTCTCTCACAAATGGTAAGAACACGTACTACCGGATTGGACGGTCAGGCACCAGTGCCACCAGCTAGGGCCGCGAGAGGTCAGGGCCGTGGTAGAGGCCGAGGTAGAGGTCGAGGTGTCACTCGTACAACAGTTGGAGCAGTGCCTGTAGCACCACCAGTTGCTCCAGCTCAGGAGAAGATTCCAGATATAGCTGAGCCGACAGGACCAACTTAGGCACCAGTTGTGCCCATTGAGATTCCTGGCCTTCAGGAGACTTTGGCCCAAATATTTACAGTTTGCACTGGCCTTGCTCAGGTGGTTTCGGCTCAGGCTGCACCAGTCACTTCTCAGGCCGGGGGAGGTACTCATACCCCTATTGCCCGTACTCCAGATCAAGTAGTATAGGGAGTTCAGATACCAGGGGCACTACCAGCCCAATCGGCTGTAGCTTCTCAGGCCCCGGTAGTTCCTGTTATGGCAGATGATGAACAAAGGAGACTTGAGAGATTTGGGAGGCTTCGACCTCCATCATTTAGCGGTGCTGAGTTAGAGGATGCTCCGGGTTTTCTGGATAAGTACCAGCGTATGCTTCACACAATAGGTATTCTGGAGACCAGTGGGGTCTCGTTCACTACTTTTTAGTTTTCTGGAGCTTCCTTCAGATGGTGGTAGGATTATGAGAGGCGCATACCGGTTGGTGCAGTACCACTTACATGACAGGAGTTCTCCGTTCTATTTTTGGAGAAGTTTTTTTCGCAGTCTCGTAGAGAGGAGCTACACAGAGAGTTTGAGCAGTTACATCACGATGGCATGTTTGTGATGCAGTACGAGATGAGATTTTTTGAGTTGGCTAGTCACGCAGATTGGTTGGTTCCCACTGATAGGGAGAGGATTAAAAGGTTCATTGATGGCCTCACGTATCAGTTGCGATTGCTTTTAACTAGGGAGAGGGTATCTGGTGCCACTTTTGATGAGGTGGTTGACATTGCTCGGCAGATAGAGGTGGTTCGTAGCCAGGAGCATGGTGAAAGGGAGGCTAAGAGGCCTCGAGGTTCGGGAGGTTTTGGTGGGGTACCTTCTGGAGGGCAGTTCTACCACAACAGGGGCCGTTCAGTTCACCATGGTGCATCATCCAGCCATGGTTCATACAGTTCTTATAAGAGTCAGTCATCTCTCAGTGCACTTCCAGCCCCGAGTACGCCCCGTGCACCATCAGTTCAGGGATCATATGTACCTGGTCCTTCTGGTAGTTATTCTGGTTCCCGAGGTCCGCCTCAGAACTCGCCACCATTCTTCGAGATGGAGTGCTATGAGTGTGGAGAGCTGGGTCATGTAAGGAAATATTGTCCCCACCATACGCGAGCTCCAGTTCAGCAGCGGAGTCAGGCTACTACTTCTGCACTAGTTGCTCTACCACCCGCCCAGCCAGCATGGGGTGGGGCTCAGTCAGCTAGGGGTCGCCTAAGAGGGGAAGGCCGATCCGGTGACGGTCAAGGCGATTATATGCTTTTCCTGCCAGACCTGATGTTGTTGCTTCAGATGCAGTGATAACATGTATTGTCTTAGTGTGCCACAGGGAGACATCTATATTATTAGACCCTGGTTCCACATATTCGTATGTTTCATCATATATTATTCATTATCTGGATATGCCCCGTGAGTCCTTAGTTTCACCTGTTCATGTATCTATGCCGATATGCGATACTGTAATTCTGGACCATGTGTATCGGTGGTATGTGAAAATTATTGGGGGACTAGAGACCAGAGTTGATCTTTCATTGCTTAGTATGGTCAATTTAGATGTTAGCTTGGGTATGGTGAGTTATAAGATGTTTTGTTTTATGGCTTTGAGCCAAGTGGGGGAGTCTACTATCTATGATTTGATTGCACGATTTTGTACGATATTGGGTTTTGGGCCTAGGAATACTTGTTGATTAGTTATGACTTGCAGAGGTTGATATCGGGGATAACTTGAGTAAGAAAATTTCTTGAATGCGGGTTATATTGCAATTTATGAAAAATCATGAAATGATCAAATTGTTATTTTGAAGGATGTAGTGCGCACGAAGTATGAATTTGATTGGTGGTGTTAAGGCAGGGTTCCTTCTTTGGGGGCCGTTGTGATAATGGGACTTGTGTCTTTTGGCCTTTTTGGGTAGTTAATATCTCTGCGTTAACTTGCCGATTTGAGTAGTTATAGCACACATTGCACCTACCTACTCCATGGCGTGTTATCTGTACCAATCCAGGAGCATGAGAATCATAATTCATTTATCATATACATGTGTACTTATTTGATCGCTCCGGTATGATATGCTTGGACTGGAGGCCTGTGACCATGCCAGGCGGATTATATTATTGGTACGTGAGTTGTCCATGCGGATCCATATACTGATATTATTGGCACGTGAGTTGTACGTGCAGGTCCGAATATTTATACTATAGCATGTGAGTTGTCCGTGCGGGTGATGATTATGTTAGCTCTAGAAGAGCTGGTTACTCTTATTAAATTCGGGTGTATTGGTTCTACTATATATAATGAGCTTATAGCATTGCAGTTGTGGTGGTGCTTGTTGAACTTGCAATACGGTTCTCTACTTTGAGACATCTTCCATTTTGAGTACAAGGTTGCGCAGTTGTGGCTTGAGTTGTATTGGTGTGCCATGTCAGTGGGATAGTTGTGTTTAATAATATATGGTCATTGGACCCAGAATGGGTACCATAAGATTTTATTACCACTACAAAAAAAACCGTCTTTAGCGACGGATGAATTCCGTAACTAAGTAGTATATTTCCGTCGCTAAACTTGTTTAGCGACAGATTTGTGTCCGTCGCTAATTTGCTCGTAGCTAACCCTTTACTAATGAAAAACTTGAATCCATTGGTAAGTTAGTGACGAATTAGCTACGGTTTGTATCTGTTGCTACTCTTAGCGACAACACATATCCATCGTAAAATTCATCAATTTTGTCGCCAAATTGACAAGTCATTTCGTCGTCGGATTTAATTGGCGACGAATATTTTCTGCAGCTAATCCGTCGCTAATATTATTGAGACATATTTGCCTTTCTTTTGGTGATGAAATTCTTTTGTCGCAAATATGTCGCATCCTGTTATTCTATATTAGTTATAGCTACGAAGAAAATTCGTCACAAATTATATTTTTCTTATTTTATTTAATAAAATACATATTGTTCAAGCATATATAAGATACTCTTAATAATAACTGAAATTCATAGAAATTAATATTCTACAAGATCCAAAATAGATACCAAAATAAAGTTAAGATTAAAACATTTACAATACTAAAATAAAGTTCAAATAAAAATAGTTAATTATTGAGAGACTGGAGAGTGAAGGTCATCATTAGAAAGCTATGCATGAACCTTGTTAATACCAAAATATCTACAATACCAAAATAAAATTCAAATAAAAATAGTTAACTACTGAGATACTGGAGAGTGGAGGTCATCATCAGAAAGCGATGCATGAACCTCGTTAATATTAGTAGGAGGAGGAGGAACTGGAGGTGCCCTAGCTGATGGGTGATCGGTATGATTATCTTGCACATGTGATGGTGAAGCTATCAATCCTCTTACTTGCTGAGCCAACACAGGAAGCATGTGATCAGTCAGTACAAGAACCATATGATCAGTCAATGCAGGAATCAATCGCATCACTAACTCATCCAAATTCGCCATCGGAGCTGACTGAGCATTCGGAGGTGCTGATGATGAAGAAGCATCAGATGATCTAGAAGAGGCACGAAGATTCGGCCCATAGAAATATTTTGCTTGAGATCCAAGACCATATTTTCTTCTCTTCTTTTTCCCTCCCGCGACTTGATAAAATGCTAAAGATTGATCAATATCAGATTGAATTTGTATTTTTTGCTGTAATATTTACTGATATTTTTTCGGTAAATTCCATAATAATTAGTGAAATTCATTAATGATGAAGATGAACATTAGGGGAAAAGAAATGATAAAAGCATAAATAAGTTACCTGTTAAGTTCTTCATTCAAACAAAAGTTAGCAAATATCATCTTTAGGACTGAAATAGGTGTTAAACAAGTAGTTCAAGTAGGACGTTAATGTCACATACAAAGTCAGTAAAATTATAGGATTTTGGACTTACATGTACAAGTCAGGATCGCTTACTAACAAAAGATTTTTCATCATGACCATATGTATGGACGTGCAAGTGTAGCTCACTTGGTGTTGGATCTCGACCCTTTTCAATAGCCTATACAAAAACAAAGAACTTAATTTCCTTTGATAAGGTGAAACAGTTTACTAATGGAGGTACCAAGAAGGTATACAACAGTACTCATTTATTGAATTTCAGGTAGGTTCTTGGTTTACCATTTGATAAGTGTAGCTGCAAAATCCAGTTTAGTTTTGTGCTTCCTATTTTATATTTGGACTTTTTGATTGAACTCAGCTTATGTTATGTGTAGGAATCAACTATTGGTGCAGCATTTTTCTCGCAAACAGTAGCAGTAAATGATGCTACTACAAAATTTGAAATATGGGACACAACAGGCCAAGAGAGATACCACAGTCTTGCTCCAATGTATTACAGAGGAGCTGCAACTGCTATAATTATTTATGATATCACAAATCAAGTAACTTTCTCACCTGATTCCAACTATTCACTATAATTACTTGATATTGCTCTGAAAATATTTGCTAGCATGTGAACTTGTTAACTTAGTTTCTCAATTCTTTATTTTAGGCATCGTTTGATAGAGCAAAAATGTGGGTTCAGGAGCTTCAGGTGAAAAAGCGGGTTCACCTGAAAAACTAAAGATGCTTCGTGTTATTTGCATACATCACAAATATAACAAAGCCAGTCTATGATAGAGCAACAAAACTTAGCAAATATTACTACTTACTAATAATAAGTTACTGCTCCTCCGTTCCACTCAACCTATTAAGAAGCTGAAATATGTCTACTGAATTCTAGTGATTACCCCTTACGAAGAATATACTTACAAGTATCTTGCGATGTTCCCCAATGGTGACAGAGCCGCCCGTGTGAGTCCCAATGGAGATGGTAGTCCCGCCGCCACAACGATATTTTGCATTTATTTCTGATTTTTTGACACACTTAGGATCCTTCCATAGTTCCATTCAATTGCCTCACACATCTTTTGGAGCAAAATCTGGTTGAACTATATCCTTATCTTTTTTTATTTTGCATATAAAATCATAGTACCTTCTCGCTGCCTTACTTCACCGTAGGTGCTTCACTTCTCTATCAATCAAAGAATCCCAATAGAATGCCTTCTGAAATAATTTTGTAAAGTAGTAACATTAGTATACTATAAGATTACCACCAGAAGACAACTCATTAGTAAGGCATCTTTCCCCTTGATATATCCAAATAAAATAATTCTCAACAAATCCAAACTGCAAAAGGTGTAATCTAACGGTTTCAACATCCATGTATTTAATGTTGTGATATTTTTTACAAGGACATCTAACATTGTCACCACTCATGCTATTTCTTTGAGAACATGCAAACTGGAGAAATTTATCCTCGTCGAATATGAAACAAGAATTAATACCCCCTCGTCCATCCAACCTCTCATACATCCAACCACGCTTTAGATTCTCCATTTTCTTATTTAATGTTGAAATTAAAAAGACAAGCAGATATAATTTTTTTTGTAAGTAATAACACAAGAATAAAGTAAAGAGAAGATACACTTAATCTTACCAAACACCCAGAACTGCCTTTTTATGCACGAAGGAAAGAAACCAAATACATGACAGCAAAAAAACCCAAATAGTTACTTTTATTTTATAAGCCATAAATTATTAAAGAAAAAAAATATCACAGATACATCATGAAGCTAATGTAAGATTAAATAGATCACAAACAATCAGAATATCACAAATACATCCCTAGAAGTCACTATATATAAACAATCTCAAATACATCATAACATCACAAATACATCAAAAAGCTAATGTAATCTATGTGAATATTTTTAGATAAGAAAAAGCGAAAATTCTAAATAACATTGACATTTCATTTTAAGAAAGCGCTAATAAGAACAAGAAAAGAAGGGAGAGAGAGAAAGAGAGAGAGCGACAATAAAATATATGTCAACAAAATAAATTAAGATATATTTATAATTTAATAGAAATATACTAATACCTTAACTAATCCATGAGGAATCTTTGAGATTGTTTCGTTCCTTTTCCTGAAATGAAGCTGAACAAATATAAATTTAGTCAGATGCATGCAAAACAAATACCACATAGATTATTTTGCAATATGTAGAACCACAAAGGTACTAATAAATTTATTACAGAGATTATATTCATGTTTCTAGCTAGTTTCAGAAGACAAAATCAGGTATTGATGCAAAAAGCTACACAACTCATATGTCAAGAAAATAGGAAAAGAATGACAATCACGATCATGAAAAGGCTACGTATAAAGGAAACTCTGCTGAGAAATAACAAGGTGATTTAAGGACTTTATTGGATGAAAAGAAGAAGGCTGATATGGTGTCGTCTACTATTAACGGTGGTGATCATATGACTGAGAAGATGAAAGTAGGAGGAACGGGCTGGCAATCATCAAAACTCAATGCCACAATTGTTTGAGTTGCTGAAGTTCGAGTGGAGCATGGGGTTTCTTAGAGTACACCAGATGATTGGGTTGCTGTTACATGTGTTAAGGAAGCTGTTAAAAATATGCCTAATGTAATTGTAGTTCAAATTAAAATTGGACAAATTATTGAAAAGAAAACAGCTGGTGAAAATATTGTGTAGAGGAGTACGGATCTACGAAAAACTTATGATAAATCTAAAGCTCCTAGGGATATTCCTGCAGCTACAAATTTGGGGAGCAGGTGAATGCTACTAATGTTGTTTGCCTGCTTGGGATGTCGATCAATCAATTACACTTAAAAAAATGGATGTTGAAGCTGAGCAATCAGGCAACCATAGGGATATAGAAGCAAATGTGCATGCCAGAAATCTGTTGCAACAGGAAAAGAAAAAAGCTGGACATGAAAGTGTTCAAGTGGCTGAACATTCTAAATATCACGACCCAAAATCCCAGCACAGGCGTCGTGATGGCACCTAGTCTCTAAGACTAGGTAAGTCGATTTCAACTACCTTTTGAAGCCATTTTTTTTTAATTAAATAAATAATCAAAACTGACAGCGAAACAAATATGAATATACAACCTCCCAAGACTGGTAGTACTAAGTCACGAACTCTAACAGAATACATAGAATGATCACGAAGACCGAATATACAATACTGTTTGATTACAAGTTAACAGTACAATGAAATGAAAAGACTCCAAGGGACTGCAACGACCAAGAAGCTCTACCTTAAATCCTTACGATTCCGCTTTAACTCTTCTCAAGTCCGTTATCTTCAATACATGGCTCTGCACAAAATGTGAAGAAGTGTAGAGTAAGCACACCACAGCAGTGCCCAGTAAGTATCAAGACTAACCTCAATGGAGTAGAGATGAGGTACAGTCAAGACACTCACTAGTCTAATAACCTGTGCAATATGATATACAAAATAATAGGAAACAAATAATAATAAAGGCATGATAAAACAACCAATGATATGCACAACAGACAACAAGAATACCATTAATATAACTCAACAATTAATAAACACAACTATACTCAATTAAATCAAGACCTTCAAATAAATGTCTTTCACATAGTTCTTCCAGGTAACTCTCTTTCAAATATAATTTTCTCAAATAATTATTTTTCAAATATAATTCTTTCAATAAATCTTTTCAAATACAATTTCCTCAAATAAATATTTTTAATATAATTCTTTCAATTAAAAGGTCACCATGTGACACCTCATTTCATAATCATCAAAATACGGGTCTCAGCCTATTTTTGATTTTTCGTAAACACGGATCTCAACCCATTTTCATATTTTCACGACACCTCGTGCCCATAATTAAATCATCACATTTCTCCGACACCTCGTTCCCTCATTTCATATCACAACTGCACGGACAATTCACGTGCCAAATATCATTATCATTTTATCATAGCACCTCGTGCCCACATTTTATATCACAGCTGCACGGACAATTCACGTGGCAATATCCCCATTTCATATCACAATTCACGGCACCTCATGTCCACATTTCATTTTATAAACCGCCTGACAATAGCCACAGGCTCCCAATTTCAACATAAATCAGATTATTATCAATTTACTAACAACAAGACAAGTTGCAGAAGGTTTACAAATAACACAAGAAAATCACAACATCGCATAAAAATTGTCAACACTACAACCCCACATCATCACATATCGTCCCTGAAAATAGCCACCCTTATCGCTCCTATTTCCACCCTTATCGCTCTGCCCAAACAATATCAATAGCCACCCTTATCGCTCATATTGCCACCCTTATCGCTCCTTTCTTCTTCGCATTCGCGTTGCCTGGGCCGCGTTCGCGAAGGCTTGCCCTGCTCCTTCTTCGCGTTTGCGTCCACAGCTTCGCATTCTCAAAGGCCAAACCATCAGTCCCTTAAATTCCTCTTCGCGAACACGGGACTCCCTTCGCGTTCGCGAAGAAGGAAACCAGACTTCAACAACAACAGTCCAAACAACTCCAATTTCGTCTGAAACACACCCGAGCCCCTCAGGACCTCAACCAAACATAACATCAAGTCCCAAAACATCATACAGAGTTAGTCGAATTCTCAAATCACCTCAAACAATATCAAAACGACAAATCGTACCCCAAAGCAAAATCTATGAACTTTGAACTTTCAATTTCTATAACTTGTGCCAAAACAAATCAAATCAATCCGGAATGACTTCAACTTGTGCACACAAGTCATAATTAACATTATGGACCTACTCCAACTTCCGGAATCAGATTCCGACACAGATATCAAAAGTCCACTTCAGGTACAATTTTCCAAAAATTTGACTTTCGCTATTTCAAGTCTAAATTGGCTACAGACCTCAGATTCATAGTCTGGATACGCTTCTAAGTCCAAAATCACTCAATGGAGCTAACGGAACCGACGGAACTCCATTCCAGAGTCGTCTTCATGCAGTTCGACTATGGTCAAAATCCTAAGACTTAAGCTTCCGTCTTAGGAACTAAGTATCCCAAATCTCTCTGAATCATCCATAAATGAAACTCGACCACACACATGGGTCATAATACATATTACGAGGCTTCTCGAGACCTTAAGTCACTGAACGAGACGTTAATTCTTAAAACGATAAATCGGGTCGTTACATTCTCCACCTCTTAAACAAACGTTCGTCCTCGAACGTTCTAAGAATTATTCTGAGGTTACCGAATTGATAATTTTACTTTTAGACATAAACTCATGGTTGATTCTACGTTACCGCATTTGAGATAAGCTCGACAACATCATCTCACTTGAGATTATTTCTTTTATCCATATTTGTAAACTTTAAGATCAACTTCTTACACTCCAAACATTTTCAGAAAATTTGATTTTTCATCAACGCACGGTATTAGTCTCAACTGGTTATAGCAACTCGTGCCTATACACATCAACTTTCTTGATAGTGTTGAAGTACTTCAAAAAATTTCTGGGGTGCTTCATTCTCCCCTGCTTAGGATCATTCGCCCTTAAACAAATAACATAATTTGTCTCTTCTTTTGCAATTCTCAATCCTTCAAATTTTACTAACTCCCAAATTTTTCAGAAATTTCGGCAGAGTCTCCCCGGTAATTAGGCCTATTCACCTGCCAGAGTAACACCCAAACAACTCCTAACAACATATCCACAACCCAACAAAATACCACAGGGTATATATCAATAACATTAATCTCATATTAACCATCACCTCATTTCGAATTTTCACAACACTGTCAATAGAACGTGAGGCATGAAGACCTCATGATTACTTACTCTGATTAATGAGTCACATTTAATGCCACCTAGGCACTCACCTCATAGGCTAAAACTCAATTTTTACAGCACAAAAATGGATGAATATGAACAGAAAATATACAAGCATTATCAATTAAGCCTAACAGGCATGACTCCTTATTAATATTATTGCACAAATTAAATTTCACAAGGGAGAATTTTAAACTCATAAACATTTCACCACAAGGACCTCGTCCTTATATAACTTCCATCGCGGCTTGCAGCCCGGTTTAAATATTTCACATCATATATAAATTTCGAGGATCTCGTCCTCAACTCCGAATCACAAGTATTTTACACATTGTGCCAACTAAAATTTTCAATTTTCTTTCTTTCTTCTTTTCAATATATTTCATAAATAATTTTCACAACATATAATGAACCCTCCTACCGGTAGGGCATATAATTCATTAAAAAAAATTGGAATAAATTATTCCGAAACATATTAAACCCACTACCCGACTGTCCTCCACCTCTTAGGCGCCCACTACCCACCTGCCCTCCATCTCTAGCTGACCGTGCACGTGGAGTATCAACTGGAATAAAGCTTGTAGCTGGAGTATTCTGATGAAATCCACCCCTCCCTAGTCTGGGACAATCTCTCATGATATGCCTAGTATCACCACACTCATAACAACCCCTCTGAGGTCGCGGCTTCTCGTACTGAACCTGTGCCAAATAACTGGAATAACCACTGTAAGAATCTCGTGTTGGTGGTGCACTATAAAATGGAGCACCCCGAGTAATCTGATGTGCGGACTGAGCTGACCGGTTGCTCAAGTCTCCGCTATAATGGGTTCTTGCTGAAGAGTAAAATCCACTGAACCCTCTAGATCTTCGAGAAGTTTTGGCCTCCTTAGACTCCCTTTCCTCGCCTAAAACACCCTTAATCTTCCTTGCAATTTCCATTACTTGTTGAAATGGAGCATCAATTTGCAACTCTCTAGCCATACATATTTTAATATCATAATCGAACCCCTCAATGAATCTGCATAGCCGTTCTCTGATTGTCGGAACTAAGATAGGTGCATGACGGGCTAACTCACTGAACCTTATAGCATATTCTGACACTGTCATAGTACCCTGACGCAACCGTTCAAACTTTGTGCGCCACGCATCTCTGAGAATCTGGGGAACAAACTCTTTCAAGAATATTTCCGAAAATTGAGGCCAAGTTGGTGGTGTGGCATCGGCTGGTCTACCTTCTTCATAGATTTGCCACCACCAAAACGCTGCGTCTGATAGTTGAAATGTAGTAAAGGCAACTCCGCTCACCTCCACAATACCCATGGTGCGGCGAATACGGTGACAATTTTCTAGAAATTCTTGGGCATCCTCTATAGCTGTGCCACTGAAAGTAGGTGGACTATACCTCTTAAACCTTTCAAGTCTTTTTTGTTCTTTTTCAGATTCCTCGGGCCTGACCTCAAGTCAAATTGGAATAACAGGTTGTACTGGTACTATACCCGGAACCTGACCAACGAGAACCTGTTGCTCTGGAGTTGTGGTAGGAGCCTGAGCAACTCCCCCAATTTGCAGAATGTTTGGTGTAACAGAGATCAATCCCGCCTGAGTTAATGTACCAAACATACTCAGGAACTGTACTAAAGTCTGCTGAAGTCCGGGGATAACAACAAGTTCTTCTGCTACCTGTAACCCAACTGGAGCTACTAGTGGCTCTTCAACTGTTGTTCTGACAGGTGCTCTACGTGCCCTTCCTCGATCTCTACCTCGGCCTCTACCTTGGCCCCGACCTCTTGCAGCCCTAGCAGTATGTGCAGATGCCTGCTCAGCTAACACAGTAGCACGTGTCCTCACCATATGTGAGATAATGGAGATACAAAGGTTCAAATTCAACAAATTTCGCACGAAAGGAATAAAAGAAATGGAAATTTCCTAACAGTTCTGTAGCCTCTCGAAGATAAGTACAGACGTCTCTGTACCGATCCGCAAGACCCTTCTACACTCGTTCATGACTCGTAGAACCAATGAACCTAGAGCTATGATACCAACTTGTCACGACCCAAAATCCCACCACAGGCGTCGTCATGGCACCTAGACTCTAAAACTAGGTAAGCCGATTTCAACTACCTTTTAAGCCATTTTGTTTTTTGAATTAAATAAATAATCAAAACTGACAACGGAACAAATATGAATATACAACCTTCCAAGACTGGTAGTACTGAGTCACGAACTCTAACTGAATACATAGAATGATTACGATGACCGAATATACAATACTGTTTGATTACAAGTTAACAGTACAATGAAATGAAAAGACTCCAAGGGACTGCGACGACCAAGCAGCTCTACCTTGAATCCTTACGATCCCGCTTTAACTCTGCTCAAGTCTGTTATCTTCAATACCTGGCTCTGCACAAAATGTGCAGAAGTATAGAGTGAGCACACCACAGCGGTGCCCGGTAAGTATCAAAACTAACCTCAATGGAGTAGAGACGAGGTACAGTCAAGACGTTCACTA